CTAACATAAATGAGCTCTACAGTCTACACATTACTCTAGGCTAATAAATTAGGTCACACCAATATTCATTAAAGATTCAAGATTCAAAACTCAAAATTTAAGATTCAAGGTGGACAATGAAATCAATGGGGAGTAAGCCACTTATCAAACACTCGAAAACACCATAAGTCTAACATGTGTGTGTAATGCTGGAGACTTATGCTTGGAACATATCGATGTGTGACTTTTCATGATCTTTAAGATGCAATGTCAGTAAAAAACCGCTTATTAAACTGAAATATCTAATTAGGGTCCCCAACTGCACCTACTTCAAAGTGGTATTTCAATTTTAATAAGTTCTATTGAGATGGCTTGGATCCTCTAGTTTCGGGAAAATAAGAAAAAAAGTTTTAAGAAAAACAAACCTTCAAATATCTTGATTTGTTCAACCCAATTGGCTACGTTGAAGTGTTAAATAGGTTTAGAATTCTTCGACCTGAAGCTTCTTGAAATTGATCTTTAATCGGGTCTCTTCGGACCCTATTAAGCTTTATTAACAAAAGCTTTACTTGACAGACTTTATAAAGGACTTATACCTTATAATACCCTTGTTGTTTCCGTAACTAACGAATCAGTCTCTATATTATCCGAATTACTCTTTGCCATTAGTTTTTCAATTAAAACTAACTTTTGACTGATTTTGACTACTAAATGGCAATATTGCCCTTAAATATAAGTTTTTTTAAAGAAAATCCTAAAAATTTCGAAAAAAAAATCTTATAAGTACTAAAAAATCTTACCCACAACAAATTCACATGAAAACCCATCTATATTCACACAAAAACCCACAAATCCAATAACCCCAACCAAGCAACCAGAAAGCAATACTTCAATCATTCTTCACATGAAGACCCACAAATTCTTCACATTTGCCATAAAATATTTCGTATAAATAAAGTACTCCACAAAATCTTTGCATGAAAATTGAAAACCCTAGAAATTGACATACAACTAATGTCAATCAAATTCTTCACACAGAAGATTGAAGAAGAAGAAGTTGAAATTGAAGATTCAAGATGGTAGATTCAAGAAGCCAAATATTTGAGGGTTGGTGTCGATTTTGTGAATGAAATTGAAATGGGAATATGGATTCATGGTTTTTGATTTTAGGGAATGAAGTTGAAAACCCTAGAAATTGACATCTAATTACTAGTGTCAATCAAATTCTTCACATGGAAGATTGAAGAAGAAGAAGCTGAAATTGAAGATTAAGGAAGATGGTAGATTCAAGAAGCTGAATAGAGGGTTGGTGTTGATTTTGTGAATGAAATTGAAATGGGAATAGGGATTCATGGTTTTTATTTTAGGGAATGAAGTTGAATTGGTTTTGTGCCAAAATCAGTTGAACTGGCGGTTTGTTAGGAAAAAAACTGGTTCAACCACAAGTCAAAACAGTTCAATTTCATTTACCGGTTTTTTTATTGAACCAACCCGGTTTAGCCGTTGGTTCCTAGTTTAATCGGTTGAACCGGCAAGGCAAAGCCGAGACGGGTTTTAAAACCTTGTTTACAAAGATTAGATTTCTATTTGCTCCCCATTGTGAAACTCTGCATCCTATGTTGATGACATCATCATCGATAGATAGATGAGCCATTGATAACCATTTTGGTGTATTAAACACCAACCATTTAACTATGGCCATTAAGATTTTACTTTAAAAATTATATATTTAAATATATCAAGATATAATTGTTTTTCATTTTAAGTATTTATTTAGTCCTTTAGAGATATTTAGGGTTTCTTTGAAGGATTAGTACTCAGCGTCTTTCCAATGTAAGAGTGTCAAGCGAGTTGAGCCGCTCATGACTAGCTCGGTGTCGTGTCGAGTCGAGTTTAAGCTTCCCAATACTTGGCTCGAGCAACTTGCGAGCTTACTCGATCTCGACATATTATAACCCTTAATCTATAATTATTTTTTTCTCTCTTCTTTCTCCACTTCACTTTCAGCACAAACCAAACAATCACAAAGAAAAAATCTTTAAATCTCTCCTCAACATTCATCTCTATACAACTGCAATGGCTCTCTCAAGAACAACTCTCATCTCTTTCCTTCTAATCTCACTCCTCTTTGCCTCCTCAACGGCTCAGTCTCCAACTCCAACTCCGACATCTTTGCCTCTATTCCCTTCCAACACTCAGCCAATGGTTATGCCATCTCTTTCAAAGACTACATTGGTGGCTGCTTGTTATGTGTGGGTGGGCTACTACTTGTTATTCTATTATTGCCGCAATTATCGTAATCAAGCCAACGACGAAGTCAGTAGCTATTTGATATTTCTTGATTTATTTGATATGTTTTGAATGTTGTAGTCAAGGGGTTGTTTCCCTTAAAAGTAGGTTAGTTACTCTGTTCTATTTTTATGCTTTTTATTGCTAATCTTTAGCTCACGTTCATAGTCGAACATTGCAAATAAATGTATAAATTTAAGCTGCTGCAATAAGAGAGATATTAGTTTTTTGAATCCAAACTTCGTTCAAGACTTACCTTGACAGAGGCCAGATCACCTCCCAATTGGTCAAAATCTACTTCTTTCCAGCTCCATTCTTTAACTTTCTTTGATAGCCATAGGGCCCAAGAAGAAACACGCTACAGATTGGTATCAGAGCCTGGTAGAAGGTATGGAGCAACAAATGGGAAATCTAGAGACTACAGTTCAGTCCTTCTCCGGTGGGCAGCAAGCACTCGCTAAACAAGTTCAGAGTCTCTCAGGAGGACAACAAGCACTTGCTGACCGGCTGAATGAAATCCTCTCAAAGATAGATCAGTCATCGTCTCAACCTTGCAAGGAAGGAGATACCTCTTCAGTTGCAGTGTCTCGGCCTCGTAGGGAGGAGATACCTCTTCGGTTGGAGGTTCCCACAGCCGGACGACACCGACGAACAGTAATGCTTCATCGGCCTATACCCTTAAACCAATAAGGTTGGACTTTCCATGGTTCAAGGGAGAAGAGGACCCTACAAGTTGGCTTTGTAGAGTTGAACAGTTCTTTAATTTCCATGAAAAACCCAACGAAGAACGAGTTTCCATTGCTTCCTTTCATTTAGAAGATGAAGCCCAGTTGTGGTTCCAACTTTTGAAGGAAGATAAGCTTGAAGTTTCATGGGATGACTTCAAAGAAGGTCTTTACTCAAGGTATGGACCAAATCAATACTTAGACTTTTTTGGAGAGCTTGCCAAACTGCAACAAAAGGGAAGCGTCCAGGCTTATCAGGTGCAATTTGAAAAGCTCTTCTCGAAGGTAGGATGGTTAGCACCAGAGCGGAAGGTTAGTTGTTTCATAAGTGGTCTTCAAGACTCGATTTGCATTGAAGTTCAAGTAGGACGACCGAGAACTTTATTAGAAGTAATTGGACTCGCACGCCTCTATGAAGCAAAGTCACTTACACAGCGAAAAATGCTTATAACGCCAAAACAAAGAGGTCCTCATACAAGGCCAACAAGTACAACCGCGTCACCTAAAATAAAAAGATTAAGTGTTGAAGAGCTAAATGAAAGAAGGAAGTTAGGATTGTGCTTTCGGTGTAACGAGCAATTTGGACAGGTCACAGATGCAAAAAACCTATTTCTATATAGGCAATGCTTGATAAAAGTGACAAAGATGTAGAAATGGAGGTAGAAAACCAAGATTCTCCTGATATTCCAGCTATCTCTATTCATGCATTAGCAGGTACTCCTAATCCTCGGACCATGCGAATAAGGGGAAAGATATGTGGACATGTTGCTACTGTTTTAATTGATTCTGGGAGCACTCATAATTTTATTAATGATGGGTTCACTGCTACGATTGGTTTGCAACCAGTGAGGGGAGGATGCGTTGAAATGTTGATAGCATCAGGTGAGAGACTTAAGAGGCAAGGTAAATGTCAAGAAGTCCTACTTCTCCTTCCAGGTGCATCACTACTAGTGGATGTATTCTTACTACCCTTAGAAGGGTGTGAATGTTGAAAAAGAGTTTGTTTGCTAGTTGTTGTCCTAGTCTTTTTGGGAACTTGTTGTGTTCAGCAAGTTAATTTTTTATTTACCTAGTCTATAGGTGTTAGTTTTGGCACGTTGTGTAATGCCTATTTTCTTGCTTTTATTTCTTATGTATAAGCCTATATAAAAGTAGTTCTTTTTGTTGAATAAATACACAGACAATTACTTTCTCCTATCTACTTTTGTCCTCTTTTACTTGTTTCACCAACAACACTATTTTTCTCTTCTTTATTTGTAACAGTGGTATCAGAGCTTGGTAGAGAGAAAAAGAGTGAGAAAAGTAAAATTGAGAGTGTTAAACAAAACAAAAAAGAGAGTGTGTGAGATAGTCGTACAGCAGCAACTTCATTTCTATTTCACCTAGTTTTTTGTTTTTACAGTAGCAGTAGAAGAGAACGATGGCCTTTGAAACTTTTGTGCAGCCAGCCATTCCACGTTTCGATGGTCACTATGACCATTAGAGCATGCTAATGGAGAATTTTTTGAGATCAAAGGAGTATTGGCATATTGTTGAAGATGGAGTAACAAAATCAACAGCAGGCACGAGACTAACGGGCTAGCAGAGAACTGATGTGGAAGGGAAAAAGTTGAAGGATCTAAAGGCAAAGAACTATCTCTTCCAAGCAATTGATCGTTCAATCTTGGAAACCATTCTTTACAAGGACACCTCCAAGCAGATTTGGGACTCCATGAAGAAGAAATTTCTGGGGATAGAAATAGCAAAGCGGGTTCACCTTCAAGCACTTCATGCTGAATTTGAAGCTCTCCGAATGAAGACATGTGAATTAGTTTCAAAATACATTTCGAGGACAATGGCAATCACAAACAGGAGGCGGATTAGTGGATAAAAGCTCGAGGATGTCACCATAGTTGAAAAGATTCTTCGATCCCTGACAGCAAAATTTAACTATGTTGTTTGTGTGATTGAAGAATCAAAAGACATCGACACTCTCCATTGATAAGCTACAAAGCTCCCTGCTTGTCCATGAGTAGAAAATTGTCCAGCGAGATAAGGAAGAACAAGCCTTATAAGCTGCAACACATCCCAAAGGTTCAGGTCCTGGCAGAGGTAAATGGAAGGACAAAAATGATCATGCTACTGATTCAAGAGGGAAATGGAAAAGCCATGACAACAACTACTCAAATGGCTATAAATCGAAGTCTGCAAACAAGTCGAAAGTTGAATGTTTTCGATGTCACAGGTATGGCCATTATAAGTCTGAGTGTCGAACTAATTTGAATAAGCAATGTGGAGAAATATCTAATTTTGCAAAGAAAGAAGAAATTGTTTCCCTCTTGATGGTATGTCATGCGAATCAAGGCACTCACCAAAACTTGTGGTATATAGATACTGGTTGCAGCAATCATATGTGTGGGGACAAGTCAGCATTCTCAGACTTGGATGAAACATTTTGCAACTCTGTAACTTTTGGCGACAACTCCAAAGTTTCTGTCATGGGCAAAGGAAGTGTACGAATTCACTCTAAAGAAAAATCTAATCAGATTATTTCTAATGTCTTTTTTGTTCCAGATTTAAAAACCAATTTGCTTAGTGTTGGTCAGGTTCAAGAGAAAGGATACGAGATTTTTATTAAAGATGGAGTTTGTCGCATCTAAGATGAGAAATTAGGCTTAATTGCTCAAGTCAACATGGCTACAAATCGAATGTTCCCGCTGTATCTAGACAACACGACTCAGAATTGTTTCTCTGTAAAATTGATGGATGAGGGATGGTTATGGCATTTTCACTATGGACATCTGAATTTTGGTGGTCTAAAGTCGCTACAACAGAAGAACATGGTGACTGGACTTCCACGAATTCAGACTCCTTCTCAAATTTGTGAAGAATGTGTTGTTGGTAAACAACATCAAGATCATTTTCCTAAAGGAAATCATGGAGAGCGAAGAAGGTGTTGGAGCTAGTTCACTATGATATATGCGGACCCATTAATCCAACATCGAATGGTGGTAAACGTTACTTTATAACGTTCATTGATGATTATAGTCAAAAAACTTGGGTTTATTTTTTACAGGAGAAATCTGAAGCTTTTTCAGCTTTAAGATGCTAGTCGAAAAAGAAGCAGGCAAACCTATTAAGATTTTTCACAGTGATCGTGGTGGAGAATACACCTCAAACGAATTTGTAAATTTTTGTGAGAACCATGGTATTCAAAAGAAACTTACAGCAGCATATTCGCCACAGCAAAATGGCGTTTCAGAGAGGAAGAACCGTACAATTCTAAAAATGGTGCGGACTATTCTGTCAAAAGGTCATATCCCAAGAAGTTTTTGGCCTGAAGCAGTCATCTGGAGCATTCACATTTTGAACAGAAGTCCCACTCCAGCTGTTCAAAACATGACGCCTAAAGAAGCATGGAATAGACGCAAACCAGGTTTCAACCACTTCAGAATCTTTGGTTATATAGCATATGCTCATATTCCAGATCAAAAGAGGAAAAAGCTTGATGACAAGGGAGAAAAATGCATTTTTCTTAGTGTTAGTGAGATGTCAAAAGCATACAAATCGTACAATCCTATCACCAAGAAAATTGTCATTAGTCGTGACATAATTTTTTATGAAGGAAGATTCTGGAAATGGGATGAAAACACTACCAAACAACAAATACAAGCTACTTTTGATGGTGAAAATGAAGAAGAAAGGCAGCAGCCCCCACAACAACAAATTCCCACAGTTTTTGTACCTGAAATTCCACCAAATGAAGCTCCAACTTCAGCTGAAACTTCACCAACAGCAGTAGAATCTGATGAACATGTTGATGCAGCAGCAAGTTCATGTTCCCAACGTGTTAGAAAGAAGCCAGTATGGAGGTAACTAGGATTGATCAATCTGAGGATCTACTTACTCATTTTGCTTTATTTTTAGATTGTGATCCTACAGTTTTTGAAGATGTCGTCAAAGAATTGAAATGGAGGAAGGCAATGGATGATGAAATTACTGCCATTGAAAGGAACAACACGTGGGAGCTGACTGATCTTCCTAAAGGGCATAAGACTATAGGTGTCAAGTGGGTTTACAAAACAAAGCTGAAGAAGAATGGAGAAGTTGACGAGTACAAGGCGGGCTTGGTGGCCAAGGGCTATAAGCAAAAATTTGGTGTTAATTACAAAGAAGTGTTTGCTCCGGTTGCAAGGCATGACACAATCAGATTGGTGATTGCATTGGCAACTCAAAACTCGTGGCCTATTTTCCAATTGGATGTGAAATCTGCATTTCTACAAGGAGACTTACAAGAACAGGTATTTGTTGATCAACCTCCTGGTTATGTGAAGCTAGGTAATGAGAATAAGGTGTATAAGTTGAAAAAGGCTCCATATGGGCTAAAACAAGCTCCAAGAGCTTGGTACAGCCGTATAGATGCTTATTTTTTGAAGGAAGGTTTTAGAAGATGTCCATATGAGCATACTCTTTTTATTAAAATTGAAGATGGAGGAAATATGTTTTTTGTATGCTTATATATAGATGATTTAATTTACACTGGAAATGATAGGGCCATGTTTGAAAATTTTAAAAAGTCCATGATGAGTGAATTTGAAATGTCTGATCTTGGAATGCTGCATTATTTTCTCGGCATTGAAGTTGTTCAATCAGCTACTAGCATTTTTATTTCTCAAAAGAAGTATGTGCGAGAAATTTTAGACATGTTTCAGATGAAGAATTGCAATTCGGTGAATACACCAACTGAGTTTGGTTTGAAGCTAAATAAAATCATAAAGGAAAGGAGGATGATGGGGCTCTTTACAAGCAGATTGTGGGAAGTGTAATTTATTTAACAGCAACGAGGTCAGATATAATGTATTCAGTGAGTCTCATCAGCAGATACATGGAGAATTTGACAAAGATACATTTGCTAGCTACCAAAAGGATACTACGGTACCTGCAAGGTACTAAGGAATTTGGGATGTTCTACAAGAAGGGAGAGAAGTCAGACTTGATTGGTTTTACTGACAGCGATTATGCAGAGGATCAAGATGATAGAAAAAGTACTTCAGGCTATGTTTTTATCCTTGGTTCAGGGGCTGCTTCATGTTCATCAAAGAAACAGTCAATCGTCACTCTATCAACTGCTGAAGCTAAGTTCATTGCTGCCAGTTCATGCACATTTCAAGCCACATGGTTGAAGAGAATTCTTGAAGAGCTTCATTTCAAGAGACAAGAGCCTACTACAATTTTTTGTGACAACACTTCAGCAATCAAACTCTCCAAAAATCATGTTCTACATGGGAGAAGTAAGCACATAGATGTGAAGTTTCACTTCCTAAGAGATCTTACAAAGGCTGGAACAATTAAGCTCATCTACTGTATAAGTGAAGATCAACTTGCAGATATATTCACAAAGCCTCTCAAATTTCCTTCATTTCTGAAGTTAAGAGAATTGTTGGGTGTTTGTATGCTGGATATTTGAGGGACTTCGGAGTTTTTTTGTTTTGTTTTTGAATTATGTATTAAACTGAATGTTTGAACATCAGTTTAAAGGAGGGATTGTTGAAAAAGAGTTCGTTTGCTAGTTGTTGGTCTTTTGGGAACTTGTTGTGTTCAGCAAGTTAGTTTTTTATTTATCTAATCTGTAGTTGTTAGTTTTGGCACGTTATGTAGTGCCTATTTTCTTGCTTTTATCGGTTATGTATAAGCCTATATAAAGGCAGTTCTTTTTGTTGAATAAATACACAGACAATTACTTTCTCCTATGTACTTTTGTCCTTTAGTTTTTATTAAGTAAAAGCCTGTCCTCTTTTACTTGTTTCAGCTTAAACACTATTTTTCTATTCTTTATTTGTAACAGTGAAGTGGTGCTTGGGACGCAATGGCTTCAAACCCTTGGTCCCATCACATGGGATTTCTCTAAACTCCTTATGAGGTTTAACACAGGAGGTCGTGAGATCACATTACAAGGAGCTATAACGTCTGAAAATCAGGTGGTCGACAATCCACAAGTCCAATCGCTCAGTTGCAAGAACCGTTGGGGTATCTTCCTCAAATTGCATGCAGATCCGATTCAGGCTATTGGTTAAAGGGTGATTCTACTAAAGATACGAAATATTCTTAATAAAAACAAAGAGGTGCTCCATGAACCAAACACTTTACTCCCCTCCGGATTCAGGACCATCGAATTCCTTTGATAAAGGGATGTGATCAAGTTGCATTAAAACCTTACAGGTACCCTCATTTCCAGAAGACATAAATAGATAAAATTGTGGCAGATCTTCTCCAGTAATAGGTCGTATTCTTCACCAGTGATCCTTGTTAAAAAGCATGAAGGCTCTTGGCAGATGTGTGTTGATTATAGGACGTTGAATAAGATAACAATCAAGGACAAATTTCCAATTCCAGTAATTGATGAATTATTAGATGAGTTACATGGAGTGCAATTTTTCTCAAAATTAGATCTTCGGTCAGGCTATTATCAAGCTCGCGTCCATCCACTTGATGTTGAAAAAACAACATTTCGTACTCAACAAGGCCACTGCGAATTTTTGGTAATGACATTTGGCTTGACCAACGCACCTTTCACATTTTAGTCCCTCATGAACGAGGTATTTAAAGTGTATCTTCGAAAATTTGTTCTTTTTTTTTTTTTTTTTTTTTTTTTTTTTTTTTGACGATATTTTGGATTATAGCAAAAACTAGGATGATCACTTGGAGCATCTAGAGACTGTTTTTTCAATTTTACGAGCTCATCAATTATTCGTGAAAAAGGAGAAATGTCTTTTTGGGCAGAAAGAGGTTAAATAACTTGGCCATATTATTTCCAACCATGGAGTTGCAGTAGATCCTGAAAAAATACAGGCTATCACAAATTGGCCAAAACTCGCTACATCGAAAGCCATGAAAGGATTTTTGGGACTTTGTGGTTACCATCGAAAGTTTATCTAGAATTTTGGCAAGATAGCTAACCCCTGCACTAAAATGCTTAAAAAAGATGGTTTCGCATGGTCTACTGGTGCAGAATCAGCTTTTTGTCAATAGAAGGTGGCCATGACTCAAGCTCCAGTTTTGGCTTTACCAGATTTTTCAAAAAAAAATTTGTAATAGAATGTGATGCTTCTAGACCTGGTATTGGTGCTATATTGAGACAAGAGAGACCCATCGCATTTTTTAGCCAAGCACTGCAGGGACGCAATTTATTTTTATCTACTTTTGAAAAAGAAATTCTAGCTTTGGTCCTTGCAGTCCAGAAATGGAGACCTTATCTGCTTGGAAGACAATTCATTGTTCAGATTGACCATCAAAGCTTGAAGTATTTGTGGACGCAGAAGATTACTACGACAGCCGAACAATGGTGGTTGTTTAAACTAATGGGATTTGATTTTGTTGTAGAATACAAAAAAGGAAAGGAGAATATTTTTGCAGATGCTTTATCCAAGAAGTATGAGGAAGATTCTGAAGGGAGCCTACTAGCAATTTCTCAACCCATTCCTGGCTGGTTGGAGACAATTAAAACGGAGCATGCCACCTGTCCCAACATTCAGAGTATCATTCATTTGGTTCAAAAAGGTGAAGTCGTGGGTCCTTGGGCATTTCAGGAAGGGGTGTTATATTACAAAAATCGAATTTACTTGGATGAAGATTCTCCTTCGTTGCAGGTAATCATTGCTCAGTTTCATAATAGTACTCATAAGGGGTTCCACAAAACTCTTCATTGAATCAGAGCTAATTTTTACAACAAAAGCTTAAAGGAAACAGATCTTGAAATTTATTCAAGAATGTGATGTCTGCCAAAAGCATAAGATTAAGAACCTCTCTCCTGCTGGTTTGTTGCAACCCCTACTTGTTCCACAACGAATTTGGGAAGACATATTCTATGGACTTCATTGATGGTTTACGCAACTCGGCTGGAAAAACAACTATATATATGGTGGTGGATAGGTTATCCAAATATGCCTACTTCATTGCAATTTCTCACCCATACAATGCTGTAAGTATAGCTCAAATTTTCTTTGATGAAATTTTTTGTTTACATGGGATGCCAAGATTTGTTGTTTGTGATCGAGATCGAGCTTTTACAAGTTCTTTTTGGAAGGAATTATTTAGATTGACTGGGACTGCTTTCAATTTTAGTTTGGGTTATCATCCTCAGACTGAGGTGGTCAACAAAAGTCTAGAGATGTATTTACGGTGTTTTTCTAGCTCTCATCCAAAGATTTGGAAAAAGTGGTTGTCATGGGCTCAGTATTGTTACAATAGAAGCTCTCATTCCTCAACTGGAAAAACGCCTTTTGAGGTGGTTTATGGAAAGGAGCCACCATCTTTTCTTAAGTACGTTTCAGGAACAGCTAAACTTTAGTCTGTTGAGCAAGAGCTGCTTAGTCGAGATGCCATCATCAGAGATGTTCGTGAGAAGATTGCAAATGTGCAAAATTGAATGAAGCGAATATACAATTCTAAGCATAGAGAACGAGACTTTTCTGTTGGAGATATGGTGTATCTCAAATTGCAAGCTTATCGGCAACTTTCTGTTTCTAGAAAGAAGATGCACAAGTTATTAGCTTGAATTGGGAAGGTTCAAGATTCTTCAAAAAATTGGGAAGGTTGCCTATAAACTTGAATTGCTGTTGGGGAGTAGGATTCACCTTGTCTTTCATGTATCACTCCTTAAACCATTCGTTGGCAATCAAAGCACAGTTCAGACGCAGCTTCCTCTCCAATTAGAAGAGCCTTCTATCACACAACCTCTTGCCATTTTGGATCGCCGTGTTAGCAAGGGCATTCACGAGCTTCTCGTTCAATGGCAAGGTCTTGACCCATCTGAAGCTACCTGGGAAGAGTTGAAGTATTTACAACAGCAATTTCCGAATTTTGCACTTGAGGACAAGCTCAATATTTAAGGGAAGGGGAGATGTTACATGTGGGTGGGCGGGCTACTGCTTGTTTTTCTATTGTTGCCGCAATTATCATAATCAAGCCGACGACGAAGTCAGCAGCTATTTGATATTTCTTGATTTATTTGATATGTTTTGAATGTTGTAGTCAAGGGGTTGTTTCCCTTAAAAGTAGGTTAGTTACTCTGTTCTATTTTTATGCTTTTATTGCTAATCTTTAGCTCACGTTCATAGTCGAACATTGCAAATAAATGTATAAATTTAAGCTGCTGCAATAAGAGAGATATCAGTTTTTTGAATCTAAACCTCATTGAAGACTTATCTTGACAGAGGCCAGATCACCTCCCAATTGGTCAAAATCTACTTCTTTCCAGCTCTATTCTTTAACTTTCTTTGATAGCCATAAGGCCTAAGAAGAAACACGCTACACTGCTCCTTCTCCCGTTGTCGTCACCTCACCATCGATTTCTTCTTTGGTTCTAGTGACTCCTCCCTCGTCGATTGCCTTCCCACCGTCTCAAGCTCTTGCTCCAATAGAGAACGCTATTGTTTTCAATAGTCGTTACTGGATCTTTGGCTATTGGCTTATTCGTTGTAGTTTTGATTATGTAGAGTGAATAGAGAGGAGGAAAACGAAGAAAGGAAGAGAAAAAGAAGGAGAAGGGAAAAGAAAAGACGAGGAGAAAAAGATGAACGGAGGAGGGTGAAAAAAAAGCTTTATGAAAAGCATGTTGAAAAGTCAAAATTACCTTTTACAAGTGAGTGGCTCGAGCTCGACCTACATACGTAATCGAGCTCGGTCGAGCTGGAGCTGGAGCTCCCACTATTCCAATCGAGCCAAGCTCGAGCTAGTCAATACTTGACTTAATTTGGCTCGATTACACCTCTACTCCCATGTAGAGATAACATAATATGAACTAATAATTAGATGATTCTTAATAATTGGAATCTTGAATATTCTCAAAAATATTTATTAATTAATTTAGTGTCAAGCTACAATATCTAAGAGGTTTTCATTTTTAATGCAAGCTCATGAATTAATATTCTATAATAATGGAGTAGTAAGGGTGTGCCTAAACACTCCTAACCTAAAATAGATCACTCAAAATTAACTAAGATACTTGCTTTTATGAATTTTGTGAATCTATTTTTTTATTTTTGAAAAATATTAAAAAAATAAATAAACAAAAATGCTTTTAACATGTTTATCTAAAATTTTTATATTAAAGATATGAAATGAAAATACTAAAAACATTAAAAAATAAAAAAAAGGAATAATAATGTAAAGTACGAAATTTATTATCCACGCAATCAATTAAACCTTTTCAAATTATTATTTATTTTATCAGTTTTAAAGAGTTTATCTCGGAATATATCAATTTTTTTTTTTTGTTTTATGCAAGAAGATAAAAGATAAAAACAAAAATTAAAAGTTTTTATTGAAATTTTTCTCTCTACTTACTCTTAAATTTTGTGTCATGGGAAAATAAAAACAAAAAATTTCGTATACGAACGTTTATAACATATTTTAATGCAAGAAAGAAAATTCATAAAGAATCAGGGCCTAAGTGATTTGTTTTTGACTTATAAGATACTACCAAACAGAACAAAACTTATGCAGTTGATTTGGATAAACTATTAAAGTAAAGCCTCGACCTCGATCAAAACTAATTAATTTGACATCTAAGGATGTTTTTCAACATATACAATACTACATTCCTCACCTTTATCACAATTCAATTTATTTAAACGCATGTAGTTAAGGGAAATAATAGGAACAACTGCTGTGGGTTGCACTTCTATCAATTTGCTTCCTGAAAAAATTATTCAGAATCCCTCAAACCCAAATATACAAAATTCCAACATCAAGCAGAGCTGCATAAGTAAATCAACCATTACATTTTGGACATGGAAGCATTTAACTCTTCTTCTAGAAAGGAAAACAAAGTTTCAGCACTACTTTCAACTGCAAATCAAATTTTACGCCCTTCCCTCAGTCTTTCTTTCCCACCATTCCATAAACTTCACCTGTGCAGCCATGGTATCCAACCTGTAAAGTTGAAACCACTGGTTGGCAACTTCATGTCCAAATGTCCAACCAAAAACAGCTCCAGCTGCTAAGGACAACCCAGTGCCTGTTAAATAGAATAGGGGTGAGATACTTAGCACAAACCACCTTTGTCGAAACCAATAACAGTACTTGTGCAATCCTACACATGATTTTTTATTGTTTAAAACATAGCTAATGAAGAATCATAAAATACTATCAAAGACAAGACATCTAATCAAGCAAGACAATTAAGTTGGTCTTAAACATTTTTTACCAAACCAGATTCGCAGCTGACACTATATATCAATGACCAGCAGTTGCAATGGATTGGTCCAAACAAATTGTCTTGGTCAGAAGAAAAATGTTCATCATGTGCATATGAACAGAACTTTGACCGTGCACCCACTCAATATATAGAGTGGAATGAAAAATCTCTCTAGAACAAGGCCCGGTTTTTGTATCAAAAAAAGTTAATTCCGAAACACTAAATTCCATAAGCCTTGCTTTCACAAGTGTAAGAGAGAGACAGAAGCAACAGTAGCACTCCAATTACAACCTATTAAGTGGGCACAGGTTCATTTCTCCAGCATATCTCCTATTGAAGGCTCCATGATAGATAAAAGTATCACATTGTGCAGAAATGATACTTTAACATTAGAGAAGGCCCGATCTTAACATTAGAGAAGGCCTGATCAGGCCTAGAACACATAAGAAATGTGAGGAAAAATAGAAAAGCTTTCTCAAGGTGCAAAAAAGTGAAAAAGAAAGATCCAGCAGAAAGCAAAAAGATAGGACATTCTTGTTCTGTACAATTTCTATCAATAATCTCTGTTATACTAATTATGAAAATTTAACATTGTGTACTCCGTACGATTAAAAATTCAGTAGGGAAAATGTAGATACAAACAACTAAAAGTAAAACTTCTAAATATTTATGGTGTAATTAAGTCCATTTCTTTCTATAGAGTAACGCGATATAAATCATCCCTTGCAAATTAGGAGGCATACTTCAGTATGAAGAGTTTCAACAGCAACCATAGAGAAAAGGCAGTAAGTTACCATGTAAACTCCTTGAATATTTCCATGCAATACCTGCAGTCGATGCTGCTCCAATAGCACTTCCAGTGATAGCAAAGTTCACTGCTTCCCTAGCAGTCTTCAGCTGAAAAAGGAAAGGACATGAGCATTCATAGCCAAAAAGAAAAAAAAAATGATGCAGTAAAATATTAGATAGAACCATCAAAACAGAAGATATATTATACCCACTGATATCAGCCTTCTGGAGCAGGGATATATCTGGATATGTACTAAGAAATAACTCAAACAAGTAAATCAATACATTTATAATCTAATATCACCGGCAAAGTCAACATAACCAAAAAATTAATGATGTGGCTTCATCATAGTTAGAAAGCTACAAAGTTTATGGTTTAATTACGAATGGAATGGGAAATACAAGTTTTCATCACCAATTTTTCTCCAATGAAAGGCAATACATTTAACAAATCTACCCAGAGAATACAATCGATAAAAATAAATGATGTCCTTCTAAATCCATCAAGCAGCAAATTCACATTATGTTAAACAACCAAGAAAATCAGAGCTAAAAAAGAAACAAAAATAAATATGGCAAAGAAAAGCAATTCAACATAATTATTAGGTAGAAATAAATAAAATGAGGTGCATATACTTTCAAAGCATTCTTGCTTGTTTGATGAAGTATTGATTCCATCTAATACAAACTTTTCAGTTCACCTTGCTCAGAATCAAAGGTATCTGTACAGACTGACTATTGTCAGAGTTGCTACAGAAGATCAATCTCATAGAAAGTGGGGAATATAATAGCAATTGCAATAGGTTATATTGAGACATTTCAGACACAGAACTTCACTAGTACTTCCCTTTACAGGCCGCAGAGCTAATAACACAATTTACAAGCTTAAAAATAGAGAACTAATTGGGTAAAGTAGACTCTTTCGGTTTCTTAGGGAGGAAATATAACTCCATTCCTTCAATCAGCTACGCAATTTGAAACATTTTCAACTTTGGAAGCATTGATATGGAAAATTGGACTTTTGCTTTTCCAGTTCTTTTGTCTCAGTCGTATATTGGCATTTCACCAAAGAAAAATCCAATCAAATTGTCTGGTATCATTGTCAAAAGAATAAAACAAAAAGAAAATCCAATTTAGTACCAACAAAGAGAAAAATTTTAGCTACTGTTGAATACTCCTATCTAGTTCAAATTCATTTACCCTCCGAAACACATTTGACTCTTTCAAACAAAACCCCCTTAAATTCACAACTAGAACTTAATATAATTAAAAAAAAAAAAAAAGCTGAATTGGTAGTAATTAAAATCAATTAGAGTTATTCATAAAACTCAATACATTAAAACCACTCATCACAATCTAAAATCAAATCCAAAAATAACAATTTTTTCTCTCCACAAATAGAACAAAACTTCCAATAAAAAAGGAAAGCAGTACTCCATCAAACAGTAACTCTCAAATGAACAGACAAGAAAAAAAAAATATAACCAGGCCCTCATCCAAAAGCAACAAAAAAATTGTTCCACAAAGCTCAAAATATAACCACAGTTCAAGATTAAAATCAAATCTAACTAAACTATTCTGATTAAAAGCAGTGCAAAGAAGCCAAAGAAAAAAAAGAGCGAAGAAGAAGATTACCGTGGGGCCATGAACGGGATCGGAGGTGATGAATTCGTCGACATCAGAAGAGGACCAAGAAGGAAGAGGTTTATGACGCTTGATGAATCTAGAATAGTTGTTAAGAACGGGAAACCTTTCACTCCAGAACTCTTTGTAACCTTCCAAATGCTTCTTAAAGAATGATTGCTCTCTTGATTCTACCATTTTTCAAATACTTCTATCTGCCTCTACAATGTTCACTTTAGACCTTCTCTCACTCTCTCAACCGAAACCCTGCACTGCGCACGCCAGCGCAATAATTTGTCTTTCTTTCTTATTAGATTCCAATTTTTTATTATAATGATGAGAAGTGATGGTGCGGTGAGCCCAATTTATGAATTCCAGGCCCAGTGTGTAGCAGTACATGGCAGTAATGGTAGACGTACATCACTCCCATACGGCTTACATCAATCTCACCGTTATGATTCATGAGATCACCCAATAATGTCTTACTAATCAAATTTGGCTATTCTATCTTTTGTTTTTATTTTTTTGTTATGTTTACATAAAATTTATATAAAATAATTACTATATCATTTATTTATTTATTGTTTGTATAACTCAGTTATAAGTATAACATTGCTCTTAATCACTTGCCTCGTCACTCCCAAAAAAAAAAAAAATTTATAACTCTACCTTTCAAATTTCATTTCTTCTAAATTAAATCCTAAATCAAATTCACCAGCTTATATGTACTTTAACTAATCTTCGAAGTCGATTGAACACTCTACAAGCCTAAAGGACCAAGTAAACCACAATATTATTATACACTAAGAAAGGTCTGTACATATTTTGCAAATAATTTTTTTAGTTTTTGCAATTATCTTTACGTGTAAGTAAATTTTTTTGAATGCTTGTTTGTGTTATATAAATGTTAGGAGTTCTAGGGTAATAATAAAGTAATTTTAAGACTTATTTCTCATCTTAATTTATGCATATGTATAAAATATAATTTAGACAATTAAAATTCCAAGTAAAGTGCATGCAAAACAATGAAACTTTCTTTCTTAGAATCTGTACTCGAGTTAACAATAGAACGGTAAACACCATTGATAAATGTAGACAAATATGATCAGTGGTCCATTAAATTATCCTATTACTAAATATCAGTCGAAACTGTGAAGTAAATCTTCTTTTTGACTTCATGCAATACCCTTGAAAGAAATAAATATATTTTTGTTTGTTTCTTTGTTGGTTTTTTATTTTATTTTTTTCGGGGGATTTTTTCAGCTAGATAGGGCACAAAATTACAAAATCCAAATTAAAAAAAAATATATCAAGAAGATAACAAAATTTTATTCAATCATCTTAATTCCATAACCGATCCGAGCCTATGTGACTTTTTTTCAAAATGAGGAATCAAGGTCAAAATACATCTAGTTCTTTAAGCCAATATTTTGATAATAGGATGCGGAACTAATCTATCGGAATACTAAATTATTATTCTAATTTATGTTGTATTTTCTTTTAATTTTATTATTCTTAAATTAGTGTTAATTTATTTTGAGTTATGGAAGTTTAATATTTGCGTTATAATGGAGTTTTTTTTTTAATTATATAATTATTATAAATATTAATATAGATAATAATCAAATTAACATAAATACAAATTAATAAAAAATTAAATAACAAAAATAAGGATATAAATGTANGGGGGGGGGGGGGTTGGGGGGTTCCAGCAGATAGGACACAAAATTACAAAATCCAAATTAAAAAACAAATATTGAGAAAATAACAAAATTTTATTCAATCATCTGAATTCCATAACCGATCCGAGCCTGTGTGACTTTTTTTCAAAATAAGCAATCAAAGTCAAAATACCTCTAGTTCTTTAAGCCAATATTTTAATAATAGGATGCGAAACTAATCTATCGGAATACAAAATTATTATTCTAATTTATGTTGTATTTTCTTTTAATTTTATTATTCTTAAATTAATGTTAATTTATTTTGAGTTATGGAAGTTTAATTAGTTTTTTTTTAATTATATAATTATTATAAATATTAATATAGATAATAATCAAATTAACATAAATACAAATTAATAAAAAATTAAATAACAAAAATAAGGATATAAATGTAATAAAATTTAATTTAAGGGCTAAAATATGAGGTTTATTTTGAAAAAGAAAAGAAAAATGACTATATTGAAAAGTGAAAAAAATATTTGGAGTGACTTTTGGGTTGGAGCAACATTTGAACATCATTTTGGTGTCCCATTGAAGATGCCCTAAGACTATAACACAATAAAGCGAGAATTAGAAGAAAGAAAAAGATGGGCTCCCAATATAAGAGAGGAGAAATTTAAGTATAAGTTTAACGTATGTAGTGAATGGCTCAAACACAATAAAGATTAAGGACATCTCCAATGGAACACTATTGCTCGAACCATATACCAAAAGCTACATCAAATTGGCATAAATAAATAGTATCACACTAAATTTGAGGTAATACTATTCATCCACACCAATTTGGTGTAACACTATTCATCCACCATAAAACATATTTTATTTCCTCATTTTTTTTAATTCTTTTTTATTTGATTATTATTTATATTATATTTATAATAAATTCATAATAATTACATAATTCAAAAAATGATGAAAAATTAAAAACAAAACTTCCTTCAATGCAAATATTAAACTTCAATAACTCAAAATAAATTAACACTAATTTAAAAATACTAAAATTAAAATAAAATACAACATAAACTAGAATAACAATTTAGTATTCCAGTAGATTAGTTATGGATCCTTTAATGTTTATTTGATTTAATAAATGCTTAATTTTATTAAATTAGTATAAATTTCAAAGTTATTATTAATTAATAAAAATATTATTCCCAATATTCAATTAATATATACAAAAATAATTAATGAAATAAATTAATTGTTGAGAATTAATTTTAAAAAAATAATATTCTATGGAATATTCTTATTGGCGTAATATTTGGTGTAATAGGTTGGAGATACAACAGTAAAAGGGTATGAAAGGTATACCAATTTGATATAAAAGTTACACCAATTTGGTGTTTGTGGTTAAAGATTGTCTAAAGAGAGATTTAGAAGAAAGAAAAAGATGGAGTTCCCAATATAAGAGTAAAGAGAAATTTAAGTGTAAGTTTAACATATGTAGTGAATGGTTTTGGGAAAAACACACAGTAACTTCAAAAAATTATAACTCACTCATTTGAAATTGGAATTTGACGATTCTTGTTTCTGTAAACTTATCTCTATCTTGGATTTTAAGGAACAAGAAATAAAAACCCGAAGAAAATCTTAATGGATTGTCTTTTCTGGCTTTCAGTATTTTTTGTAGTAGAAGGTTAGGATATTTATGGTTCCAAGATTTATCTCTCCAAATTGAGCAATGATCATATATGGATGTGATTAAGGGCTATTTGAGGATCGGTGTAATGATGAAAAGGACGGTAACTACGGTAGTGTTTGTCAATAAACACAATCGTGGAATAATTTTCCGTTAATTTCATTCATTGTAATTCTAAAATATATAGACTAGATACAAGAACATTTACAAGGAAATAATAAAAAAATTAATTACAGAATATTATAGAAAATATCCTATAATTATAAAAGAAATAATATCCTATAATTAAGAATATTGACCATATCAATCTCTTAATTATAGGATATTCTAACACTCCCCCTCAAGTTGGAGCATGTATATCACACATGCCTAACTTGTCTAAAGCATCATCAAATGCATTGTTGGCTACGACTTTGGTAAGAATGTTCGCTAGTTGGTCTTTAGACTTCACAAAAGGAAATATAATGATCCTAGCTTCCAGTTTTTCCTTAATGAAGTGTCTATCAATTTCTACATGCTTCGTTCGATCGTGTTGAACTAGATTGTGGGCAATCTTTATAGCTGAAGTGTTATCACAATACAACTTCATTGCATCCTAATAGTCAATCCCCAAATCTCTTAGCAAGTTCCTTAACCATAATAGCTCACACACTCCAAAAGCCATGCCTTTGTACTCAACTTCTACACTGACCTTGCTACTACCGGTTGCTTTTTACTCCTCCAAGTCACAAGGTTACCCCCTACAAAAGTAAAGTATCTTGAAGAAGATCTTTAGTTATCAGCTGAACCAGCCCAATCTGCATGAGTGCAACCTCTACCTTCAAATAATTATGCTTAGTGAAAAGTAACCCTTTACCTGGAGCAGACTTCAAATACCTCAATATACGTTCCATGGCATCCATGTGAGGTTTACGAGGATCATGCATAAACTGGCTCACTACACATACTGAATAAGTAATATTTGGCCTAGTGTGAGACAAATAAATCAATTTTCCCACAAGTCTCTGGTACCTTGCCTTATTAGTAGAAGTTGTATCCAAACCATTTATGATTTTGTTCAATAGGAGTATTCACAAGCTTTCATCCAAGCATACCTGTTTCAGTTAACAAATCAAGAATGGATTTTCGTTAAGATAAGAAAATACCATTTTTTGATCTGGCTACCTCAATCCAAAGTACTTAAAGTCACCAAGCTATTTCATTTCAAATCTAAAGGCCAAGTGCATTGTAAGTTCTCAATTTCATCTTGATCATCACTTGTCACCACCATATCATCAACATAGATAATCAAAGCAGTAATTCTACCCTTTCGGTGCTTTAAAAACAAAGTGTGATCTGAGTTGCTTTGTTTATAGCCGAAGTTCTTCATAGACTTGGTGAATCTACCGAACCAAGCTCTTGGAGATTGTTTTAAACCATACAATGCCTTCTTGAGTTTGCACACCTTTGTTACATTTGAGTACTTCTCTATACCTAGAGGAAGATCCATATACACTTCTTTTGTAAGATCTCCATGCAAGAAAGCATTTTTTACATCAAATTGAAGAAGTGGCCAATCCCGGTTAACTACAAACGATAGGAACACTCTAACCATGTTAAGCTTGGCAACTGGTGCAAAGGTGTCTTGATAGTCAATTCCATAAAACTGCATATACCCTTTTGCAACCAACTGAGCTTTGTACCTTTCAATGGTCCCATCTGCCTTATGCTTGACCGCAAATACCCATCTACACCCCATAGTTTTCTTCCCCTTCAGAAAAGGCACAAGTTCCCAAGTAGCATTCTTTTCAAGTGTTGCCATTTTTTCAGCCATGGATTGGGTCCATTTAGCATCTACTAAAGCTTCTTGCATTTTACTAGAAATAGAGATAGACGATAAATGTAGCACATAAGACGCATATGACTTGGACAATTTTTTCGAAGATTCGTGATCACTAATGGGATATCTAACTTTAGATTT